GCGTTCATGCAGCTTCCCGGTTGGTTCACAGGCCCCTCCCTCCCTACCTCAGAAGTAGCTGTCTTCCTCTCTCCCACACTGCTGCAGCTCTTTACTTGTTTGACAGTTTCATCCTGACACAACTCACAACTTGGAAGCCACTATTTTACACACTCTCAAATTTGTGTGCGAGTTGGGTTTAGACGGGTTGTCTCCCCCTTTCTTTCCTCCCTGCTCATTATCATGGCCGTCTCCCAATCTTTCGCTGTTTTTTTCTCCTGGTGTGAGATAACAGTCCGGGTGGACGAGGGGTCTCCGCTGACTGGAGGAGCAAACAGCCCGTCCTGAACGCCCCGGGTTGTGCTGGAGTCATCAGGATCCATTGTGTGCGCCTGTCATAGCCTAACAAGCCGCTGGCCCTGCAAGCAAGACAAATCTTTCTCCACCTTTTGTTGTTTGTGAAGTCTGACGGGCTAATGAAGGCCACACTGATGTGTCATTTCTCCACAACGTGCTGAAGGCTTTCCCCCCCTTTTCTCAGAACACTCTGCCTTTGCATTCAAGGGTAAAAAGCCCTTCTCTTCTTCCTGCTCCTATTCCTTTCTTTACCGTCTATTCAGAGACGCAGCTTGCAAAGAAAAGTAATTTCACTCTCTCTGTCCCTGAGAGAATCAACACACTGAAGTTGCATTGAATTTCTTTCTGCAACATTTTTTTCTTGGCTCTATTTCAGACCCATAACCTGGGGGTAAACATGCAATTAAAATAACAGCAGCCTGCCTTTTTCTCTGCTCCTCCTCTCCTGCAGCCGTTAGCACAAGAAGTGTACAACATGGTGACTTGGTTCTCCTAATTGCCTTTGCTTTTAATTGGTAGAGAGAAGCTTGTAATATTCAACCAGCAGCCAAACATACTTTCTCACCTGTTTTATTCCTCTTTGTTTTCCTCCTCTAATATTGTTGCATGCGTCTCCTTCTAATGAGTTTATTTTGGGTGCACCATCCTCCCTCTCCTGTTTGAACTCCTGCTGCTTGATGTCTTAATATATGACGTCCTATAAAGTCGACCTGATGCACTTCCTGAGTTTCTGAAGCTGTTTTCACACATGCACTCCTGAAAACATCGAGATCATTTCAGGAGGACTGCTCTGAAAACTCTCCTGACCTGGTTGTTCACACATGCACCTCACAGTGGGAGACTATCTCTATCAGATGGGAGGGGGGGCGGGTGGGGGGGGGGAATCTCACCATAAACGTCACCACCCCCTCCCACTCGCTCCAGGTGAATTCTCCTGATTATATCCTGCTGCGTTCTCACATCAGCTCACTCTGACTTTCTGCAGAATAAATACGAGGAGGCTGGAGGAGAAACATTCAGCTGTTTGTGTTCACACATGACGCTCAGCATGGAAATATCAGGAGTTATTCAGGAGTTTTCTGCAAGTCTGAAAGCACTATTACATATGTTGTTAATAGTGGACAAGGAGAATTTCGAGGGAAAGATCTGACATCGATTCAGTCAGCTGGTCGAATCTCTCTAAACAACATCAGTCTTTACTGTTCCTCCTTTTCTTCTATGCACTTTATTTTGAAACTTTGTCATGGATTTGTCTTCCTCCAGGTCCCAGTGAGGAAAAGAAAGAAAATATAGGTCAGCTTTTATGGGAGCTATTCGACACATGACACAAGCCGTGTGCATCACTCTCTCAAGCCCGGCTTTTGTCCGCTCGCCTTTTATTTGTCTATAATGAAAGCCGCGCAGTTATTCACACACTTTTATTACGCTTCTATAAGTAGCTGGTGGAGACTTGCCGAGTCACCCCCCCCCCCAATACTCTGAGAACCCCGTGGTGTCTGCCTGCACGGGGCTGATAGTGTGAGACGCCTGGCTAAACTCCACCAAGCCAATCCCGGCTCCACAGGCCGGCCCAGCTGGCTCAGCGGACTCCACAGACACAGCTCTGTTTCCACCCTGGACAGGAGGGGCTGTGTCTGTGTCACAAAGGAGGCTAAGAGCTGGACACCTATCGCTTGAATAGTTGATAAGGACTGAAAATAAGTCATCATCATCACATCGATATGAACATTCGTAATAAACCAGAGATGGTCCAATACCAGTAAATGTTTCAGTATTCACTGGGGCCCTATGAGAACAGGGAATGAAAATTATAGCAACTGTAAAATGCAGAGTATCGTGGAATTTGCTGAAATGTGGGTGTGATATATAAAAGATTTTTAGGCTTTCCTGTCCTATTGGAGTGTTTTTTCACAGCGCCTGAGCTCAATGAACAGATATAAACAATGTTAAGCTGCAGCTTCCGTCAGCCTGTCTGTGTGTGTGTGTGACCTGTGTTCCCGTCGGGACAGACATGGCGGAGACTGAGAGGCCATCTGAGACGTACACGTCATCAAAACATGTTTTATAAATGCGGTACTAAGCGTTCAGTTTAGAGCAGAACAATATCCCAAAGACTTCTATGAATCAGGAGACTGCAATGTGGAATGAGTTTGGATTCAAGATGATCGATATGTGGAGGGATGATGGCCTAGCGGTCTCGCCCCGTGTGCGCATGCTGTAGTCCCCGTTCAAGTCTGACCTGTAGCTCCAATTTCCACATGTCATTCCCACATCTCTCTCTCTCTACCTATTTTCCCGCTCTCTCCACTCTCCTATCAAAGAAACTGATCAAAGAAACTGTGACAAACGTGCCGAACAGGCGATGTCATTTTTGCACGTCACTCTGTCACCTCAGTTTCTAACAATGTTATCCCACATCTAAAATTTCCCATGCCAAGTGGTTGCATGTGTCAAGAGTCGAGCCCTGGTCCAGACTGGACTGAACCCCCTGCATGGTGGTCAGAGGTCAATCAGGACTCTGCAGAATCCAGCAGCCAATCAGTCACGTGCTGGTTACCACCTGAGGAGCAGTACCTCCAACTTCAGCGGGCTCCGTCCCCATCTGAATCGACTCTATCAGGTGTAGTCATCCTCATACAAATAGTGTGTTGAAAAAGCCTCTGTGTTGGGGTGGTGGTGGTGGGGGGTGCTGCCTTTGTAAATAGGAGCCAGTGTTTGGCGTGTGTTGTACATTTGAAGTTGAGGTGGCAGCGGCGCTGATAGGCGAGTCAGTAGACGTCAGGCTTTCTGTCTGTTGGGTTTCATCTCCTCCTGCTCGGCTCTGCAAAGCAGAGTGTCAGCTGGGGCATTACCATAGGCTGACCTTTGCTGCAGCACTCCCCACTGCACAGCTTTCTGACATTCAGGGGCGCTGTGGGGGAGGCAGGAAGGGGGTGGGCTGATGGCCTGTTGGCTGTTTTTTTTTGCCTGTAGTGCGTTGATGTGTGTGTGCTTTTTTAACAACTGAACTGACAGTTTATGCTGGAGTTCCCCCCCCCCCCTCCTCCTTTCACTCTCTTGCCACTGTTTTGCTTTTGAAACGCCGAGCAAAGACAGAGTTATATTTGATATTTGGTTTTCATCCACCCCGAACCTGCCTGTTGTCAAAGAGATTGCTGTTATCTTTGTGTGAAATCTTGGCACCCAATAAATGAGAGGGAGCTGGAAATGCTGCCTGCTGACATCAAGGAGCTGCCATGTACCTAAAATCCTTCCAAGGCCGAGGGAAAAGAATAACATATCAGGCCAATTAAAGTTAATGCATGGTGACACGCTGAATCGAGGGCAGGGATTGCTGCCATATGGCGGTCCGGGCTGTAAATCAGAAATGCGAGGGGGGTGGGGGGGATGAGAGGAGTGGGAGGCCGGGTATCAGGAAGGGTGACGCAGCATCTAGCGCATAAATCCCCCCCCCCCCCCCCCAAAACCCTCAGATCTGTCGATCTGTGGCAGTGCTGCCACCCACCTGTCTCCACCCTGCTTTACCCTTCGCTCCCTTGTCTCCCCCCTGCCCCTGCAGCACCCCAAGGTGCAGCTCTCAGGTAGGACTGGCAGCTTCATTAAGGCTTGTTTTTTCTACTCTTGCTGGGAGGATTTAAATGAGCTGTCATCCTGACCTTTTTGAGCTCCTGCTTTTTAAAGCAAGTTCAGCCCCCCCGCCACCACCTTAAACCCACCTCCCGCCTCTCTCTCTCTTTCCACCTTTCTCTCCCGCTTTGTCACTCTTTCCTCCACTTGTCTCTTCTCCCTGCAGGGGGGGAGACACTTTTAAGCCTTCACCCTGCGGCAGACAGGCACGCCAAGGTTGTTTTGTGGGTAATTGCCTCTCTCATAGACGCCGTTTGTCTGCGCACACTTGCCTCCCTCTTCTGATGCCACGCCACAAAAAGCGGGGAGGGCACGGACTCTGTAGACTTAATTTGCTCTCTGACTGTTCTTCAGTGCTGATTAAGCAAGCATCTGTGGTGTTTTGACTACAGCAGTGAGCCAAGCGGAGCATGGCTAACGTTTTCTCCCTCTCTATTACGTCAGGTTATTGCAGAGTGGCAGGCTTTTATTGGAGCTGTAGCGCTGTTTATTCATTTCTTTTCACCACATCCTGAGCTGGCTCCATTGTTTAACGTCCCTAAAATAAAGGCGTCTCTGAGGTGGAGAGCACTGCAGTATCGATCACAGACTCACTAACTTGTGTCAGCGCACGGCCTCTCGAGTATGTTCCCTTTCCCGCGTACAGGAGTCATTAATTTCCCCCGCCATGGTCGGGTGGAGGCGGAGAGGTAGCAGGGTCCAACTAGCTGCACTAACATGCAGGGCGAGGGAAGCCGAGTCGATTTAAAGCAGCCAGTCCCTCAGGCCCAGTCTGCCCGTTTTACTTCAGCTGTTTGATGTTTAATTGAAGTTGTTATTGGCATCAAATGTCACCTTACCTGATGCTCCAGGTGTGAATCGCTTTCTAATTGAAAGGTAACTATGTCTCCCTCAGCCCTGTGCCTCGGGGGATCAGTCGCAGAGTTCTATTAGTCTGGAGCCAGCCTCTGTATCACCACGCACCATGTGCTGCCTGGCAGTTATGTCTGACTGCTGACCTCCCCTCTCTCTCTCTCTTTCTCTCTCTCTCTCCGCAGTGTGAGGAGAAGTGTGTGTCCCATGTTGCATTAGTGTCTGTGTGAAATGCTGGCCTGTCTGCCAGGGCCAGGTGACCTCCCCCTCCAGCTTCTCCCCCACACGCAGATGAACACTGGACTTCAGAAATGTAAGTAGGGATCTCCAGACACACACACACACACACACTTTTAACCACCACCACCACCATCCCACACAGCAAACCAAGCTGTTACAATCCTGCTGCCCGCCCCTCGTCAGATGCCCATGCCAACCCTGGCCTGGTTCTCTGGCAGCTCTGTGTTAAAACCCGACACGCACACACACACACACACGCAGAATATTTTAGTGCTCCAGGACTACAGATCTGTCTTCAAGGGAAATTAGGATGAACTGCGCCATTAATTTGCTGATGAACAGTGAACTAGCCCCCTCCCTTCCTCCCCAAAATTCTGTCGGCTAAACGAGTGTAGAGGCGTCCGTGCACTTCAACACTTTGTCGCCACGTTCACGTGTTAGATTCTTCACGACGAGTCACACGGTCAGATTGCCCTGGTGATCTCGTACCGTGAGAAAATTAAAGATGCAGTCTGCTGCCGAGGTTTAACGGCAGACTTGTCCGAGCTGGCTCAATTAATTCAATGTGTTTGAGTTTCACAACTGCTGACAAACTTGGACTGCGCTCTGTGTGAGGGTCAGCAGCACAAGTGGAGTGTCAGAGTCAGCAGAGTGCAGCGAGAGCTGAAGCTAACTGGATCTGATCAGGGAGAGGAGCCGATAAATGTAAGACAAGTACATGAGATGATCGTTTCTATAGAGACGAGGGTCTAATATGTAAACCACGCTGGTCTGTGATGTCTGTCCTGAGATTGTCGACAGCTAACATCCAACCACACAGTGAGTACTTAGAACTCGTTTTAAATACAGACAGAATAACTAGAGATACAACTCAGTATAATAAAGCACGGTGAGCAGCAGATTGAGGGGCCTTCAGATAAGGATGCAGTCGAAGGCTATAAGGGTGCAGAGCAGGGGGAGCGCCCACGCCTGCAAATCGCGTCCATCATTCACGCAAGCTGCAATGCGACCTAAACGATAGTCTGAAGAGTTGCTGTTTTTTTGGATGCACAACATCTCTGTTCACTATTCAGGAGACAGCCCTGACCGTTCTTCTTTTGGAGGAGGAGGAGGAGGAGGATGTGGGTTGTAGGGGAGTTTAGACTTGTCCAGGAGCTGCCGATCTAGAATGACCGATGAGTGGCGAGCAACTTGATGGCCTGTTGGGGAGAGTTTCACCAAGAATCACGAGAATGAGGACAAACAGGCAGCCGATCACTCCAATAGAACGTCTGGTGATTTGTCTGAGGTGGCTCTTGATTGTTGCGCCCAAGTTGAAATATGCACAACGTTGTACGCTCAACTCAGTGAAGCTGTCGTGTCGGCACATAGGCTGACACGAAGGCTATAAGGGTGCAGAGCAGGGGGGAGCGCCCACGCCTGCAAATCGCGTCCATCATTCACGCAAGCTGCAATGCGACCTAAACGATAGTCTGAAGAGTTGCTGTTTTTTTGGATGCACAACATCTCTGTTCACTATTCAGGAGACAGCCCTGACCGTTCTTCTTTTGGAGGAGGAGGAGGAGGAGGATGTGGGTTGTAGGGGAGTTTAGACTTGTCCAGGAGCTGCCGATCTAGAATGACCGATGAGTGGCGAGCAACTTGACGGCCTGTTGGGGAGAGTTTCACCAAGAATCACGAGAATGAGGACAAACAGGCAGCCGATCACTCCAATAGAACGTCTGGTGATTTGTCTGAGGTGGCTCTTGATTGTTGCGCCCAAGTTGAAATATGCACAACGTTGTACGCTCAACTCAGTGAAGCTGTCGTGTCGGCACATAGACAATGAAGAGGTTCAACAGCAGGGCTCAGGGCCTGCAGCATCCTATCGGAAAAGCCCCTTCAGTCGTGCCTCAACGTCTGAATCCTCTTAAAAATCCTTTTCAGTTTGAGTTAAAAATGATCCAAGTCAAGGTCAGGTTTGAGTTCTGCAGGTGACGTTTTCCTCTTTCTGATCCTCAGATCAGAAGAATGTTCACGGTAACTTAGGCTTCGACTTTCAGGGAATTTATTTTTCAAAGTGATCAAATAGTGATGCAAAATGTGACAGTTAAATAAAGTGTAAATGATGTCCTGTGAGACACATTCAAATGTGCTTTCTCTTTTTGAAATGATTAGTGATGCCTGCACTCAGTCAGACGTGCACTCACAGACTCTCTGCATCTTTATCCCCTTCAAACAAGAAGTGCTAAAGATTCAACGATTTCCAGACATTGATTATAACTGATCATCTTTATTTGTTCAGAAGACGTCTCGGCCTCTTTTCCCTTCTTCCTGTTTCTCTTGGAGTAAAAACTCAGCCTCGACTTGACCCATTTCTGCAACACTTTTTCCCCCTCCTTGTTGTGAAATGCTCCAGCTCATCAAGACTGTAATTTCAGAATCACAGTAATCAGCCAACCCCCGGGAGATCAGCGAGCGTGAGGGAGTCTGCTAAGTGCCAACGTCTGTTGCCTCACTCAGGCAGACTTGTGACACGGTGCAGCCATCCGCCGCTGCGTCTCTCTGCTCGTCCTTTATGTGACAAACGGAGACACAGCAGAGCAGGAGGCACAACTGGAGTTCAATTTGTTTTTCCGCCTGACGCTGTAATCCATTTTGGTGATTGAGCGTGCTCCTCACAGCGCGGCCGGTCTTAGTGCTGTCATTTCAATCTATTTTTTTTCCTGCTCGTCATTCTCTCGTAATGCGTCTTCCTTTTCATCTGCTCTTCAAAGTATCATTAACACACGCGCTGTTACATCAAAAGCTGTGGAGCTGTTTTTCATTGGGTCTGAATCATTTTTATCAAAGTGCCGTGAGGAAAAAGAAAAGGGAAAAAAACAAAAAGTGTTCAGTCTCAGGTGGGTTTGCTGCCTACTCCCCAGTCCCAGTAGATCTTCTTCTGCATGTCTGTTGAAAAGCCAGAACCACTGTATACATCAGTTCATTATTGTGAGGCCAATACGAGCCCTCCGTATAGCTTTAAGTTCTCCGTCTGTTCCTCTTCATCCCGCTCCACCTCTCTCTCTCTCTCTCTCTGAATAAAACTCAAACAAATGCCTGCATGTGCAAGAAAGGAAACATTTTTTAGGAGCATTTTATTTAAAGAGGACATATTATCCCCCTTCTCCACCTTTTCAAACAGTCCCCTGTGGTCTAAATGAAGCATCTGTGCTGTGCTTTGGTCAAAATATAACATGAATCAAGCACCAGAGGAGGTTTGTGACCCTGTAGAAACCAGCTCTCTCAGAACGCTCCTTTTGGTGTGTGTGTCTCTTTAAATGCAATGAGCCTGCGCAAAAGTTTTGTTCTAGACTGGGGTTGGAGTCCATGGGTGGAGATATCAGGGGAGGGGAGGGGATCTTTTTACCAGAATCCCACTATGACATCACAAGGAGAGCACATTTGAAACAGAGCATTTTTCTCTGTGTTGTTAGACTTATGCAGACCACAAACAAAGGACTGGATGGGTTTATTTTACATGTTATGGGTCAGTAGACACTCAGGCTACACAAATATATGTTCAAAAACACTGTACAAGGGGATTTCATAATATGTCCCCTTTTAATATTATTCGTCATGTTGACCTTGTGCAGCATGCTGATGATGAAAGTGCCTGTGTGACATTTTGAATGTGGCTCACGTGGATTTGCCTCAGAGCTGACTTTACATAAAAACACATCGAGTAGGGCTGTAGAATGATTCAAAATGTAATCACAGCAAATTGCAAATATTTCAATAGTTAATTGTGATTAATCGCTTGTTTGGAATTTAATTATTTTGTATTTTAAAATAAAAATAGTTGTCCTTTTATTTTGAATTCTTGTTCTGTCCTAAGCTGAGAGTATAATACTTGCAGTGTGCTTTCATTTTGAAATAAAGTAAGGCCCTTCCTGTAGATGAAAGGTTAGGACATGAAGTTAAGCACAGAAACAGGAAGTGGTTAGGGATCCCAAACTGAGGTCAAACAGCTCAAAGGAATGGTAACATAGGTCAATGTGTGATGTCATAAGGTCAATGTGTGATGTCATAAGGTGGATATTACTTTGGACTCGTCAGCTGAGCTGTCTGAGAGTTTGTTAAAGTGAAATGAGACATTCAAAGATGCAGCAGTGTCCTTCTTTTACATCACTGAGACTGCAGGGAGACACTGAGGACCACTATCTACGGTGAGCCTGAAGGGACAAAATAGCAGACATTAATCGTGATTAACTCATTAACGCTGACTGCCCGTGTGTCCAGATATGATTTTTCCTCCGTGTCGCCCAGCCCTACCTCCTAAAGTAACACAGTGCTGTCTCTGCAGAGCGCCATCGTTTACCCTCATGGACGATCATTTGACAGCTTAACTCCATGAGAGATGAGTCTGGCTGCTCGGAGGTGAAATTCATAGACTAGTTGTCACTTGAAATCTTTATTCAATATGCTGACAAGTTCCCACTGAAAGGAAAAAGGCTCAGATGGAGAGTTTACATAATTAGCTCCAATTTGTGTTCCCATTTTCCTACCCTTGAGCACCATCCCTACAGCTGCTCAGTGCACTCTGACGCTGCGTCTTGCGTTACAGAATATTGTCTTTGACACGTTCCCCTCCCTCTGTTTTCACCCAGAGCTTCAGATCACCAGGCTGGCCGCGCTCTGCCTCCTCGCCTGCAGGAGAAATCTGTGCATGGGAGCGTAATTTAAACTTACGAGCTCGCAGGTTGCTGTCAGAGGCGAGGTCGGAGCAGCTGCTCTATTTATCATCAGGGAGCGACTGTTAACAGATGATGGCTGTGAAATATAAAGGCTGTCGGAGGAGTAGCTCAGGTACGCAGGGAGACAGCGGGTCACAAAGAAAAAGGCTCGCACTCCAGACAGGATGTCTCAAGTACCACAAAATGGCCCGTGGTCTCACTTCTTTCAGGCAGAACAAACAGTGAGCGCTGCTGGGCCACTCAGCTGATTTTCACATCTAAGTCCCGACTGAGATCAAAGGAACCCATCTCTCCTTATAATATTTTTCACTTCCCCGAAGGTCTATCAGCATGGGAGGCTCTGCTGGAATATCTG